ATCACACAGCTCACAGCAACCTCCAACTCCTGGGCTTAGGCAATTCTCTTGCCTCAGCCTCCTAAGTAGCTGGGACTACAGGCGCCCACCACAAAGCCCAGCTATTTTTTTGTTGCAGTTTTGCTGGGGCAAGGTTTGAACCCACCACCCTCAGTATATGGGGCCAGCTGGCATCCTACCCACTGAGCCACAGGTGCCGCCCAGGCCTCGAAGTTTTTAGTCATTGTTAGATTAGGGCTGGGTGGGAAGGGGAGAAACAAGGCTGTTCCTTGACTCCTACTCCCACTGCCTGCTGAAGACCTCCCCTCAAGACCAGCTGTTGGGGCCTGGTCACTTTTGCCTACTCACAGTCCTCTCCCTGCCCCACCATCCTTTTAAGCACCCTTGATCAAAGGCCCAAGCTACAATATGTGTTCCTCATCAGCTATGCAGACTTATCCCCAGGCCTTAGGGACCTGGGATGACAAGTGCAAGACCATGCTCTCTGCATTCTCATAGCACTGAGGAACAGGCATTTGTCCATCTAGTACTCAGATGACCCCTACTGTGTGCTGAGTGCTATCTGGGAATGGGAAGACAGTAGTGAGCAAAAGTAAACAAAAACCCCTGTCCTCATGGTGCCAGCATTCAGTCTGACTGGCGATAATAGGCTACTCAAGAGCCAGCGTTTATACCCTTAAAATCTCCTACACCACAAATCATTAGGTGCTGCACAGTGGCTGGGGCCAGGAGTTAGAGGCTTGGGTGGTGGGAAGGGCTGGTTTGAGCCCTGCCGCCTCTGTCCCTTTTGGTCCTCCATTCACCCTTGATGTGTGAGCACACATGCATGCATGCGCAAACATAGGCATACACTAAGAGACAAAGTTGGAGCTGGCAGGAGACAAAGCAGAGGCGGGGTGGGTGGTGGGGCCCAGCAGCCCCGCTTTGTTTTGATAGCTTGCAAGACCCCACAGCAAAGAGATTCCCCTTTTATTGCATCTGTTTTAGATCTTTAGAATCTGAGTAAAGTCAAAACCATGCTACAGGGAAGATTAATTCCACATTTTCCATCTTTGAAATGGAACCAAAAGAAAGTTAGACATTCTGTGTGACACAATTAAGACCAGAGTGTTGAGCCAATGGCCAGCTCTAAGACTTTCCGCCACCTGGCACAAGTGTCTCCAGAGGTGTGGCTGGTAACTGCATCCTCTCCCTGAAATCCAGGTAGCAGCTGGGACCCCCTGTATCTCAAATAATCAGGCTCCTGTGTTGGCAAGGAGAGGGCTAAAGAACCCCAGTCCCACCAGGAAGACCTCCTGGGGGAGCCCAAATCAACCACAATCTGGGAAATGATTAAAAGAAACTTTTCATCACAGGAGAACTTTAAATAGCAGCCAGACTACTACATGCATCAGTGGCTAAGACCCTCCCAAAACTGACCACATCTCTGGGGCCCTCCTCAATATGCATCCATGCCCAGGGCTTCCCCAACATCCCAGCACTCAGCCAGGGTAACAGCTGAGGGAATCATGTTGCCCAGATCACACCCCTGTGCCCAGCCTGACACAGAGCAGGTGTTAGTTACGTCTTAGCTATTAATATGAATGTTGCAGTAGCTCTATGAGAGATGCATTTGACAGTCAGAGAAACCAAAGCCCTGAGTCATATAACTTGTCCAAGGCCATTCAGCAAATTAGTGGTCAAGTTCACATTTGAACTCAGGTCATACAGCTAAGGAGCCTGTGTTCTTACCATATGGGACAAAAATTCCCCGCTGGGCATCAATCTGATGGCATTTTCCAAGGATCCCCAAGCATTCTCCAATCATACCTTGTCAGGAAGGAAGAAAGACAAGGAACCTGAGCACTGGGACTGAGGCAAGGAGGTTTCTCAGGGGAAAAGAGCTGGAGCAAGCTTCAGGTAGGTGGATGTGGGCCAGGAAGGCAGTAGAGATGGGTGGCAAAGGGCCTGGCCACATGAATGCCACTCCATGAGATCTGGCTTTTATTCTTGAGCTCTTAGGTAGGAAAGGGTGTTTGAAACCCCACCCCCTGTCCCTTCTCTTCTCTGGAGAAGTTGTAAAGAGGGCAGAGGGAAAAGGGTGACCCAGGACCAGGGAAAGGAGAGCTGTCAGGAAGCCAAGGTGTGAGGATGGGGATTGAGAGGATCAGGCAGAAAGTGAACCTGAGTGATAAGCACCTTGGGCCTCCAGCCCTGACTAGACCTTGGGAGGCCTTGTGCAGAAGGACCTTGTGTCAGAACAGGGGTGGCTTGCCTGAGTCTGGCAAGGTTGCTGTTCTCTGCAGAGCTCTGACATGACTGCTCCTGCTGATGGTGAGTCTAACATAGCAGCCAGAGGGGTCTGGGATGGTATGTTCAGCTGTGCCCTTCATCCCACAGCCCTTCTCTAGGCTTTCCTCTCAGTCTGTGTGGTTCCTCATCTTGCCCCATCAGACACTGATGCCCCGGTCTTCCCTTCTAGTCTGCTAGCCAAGGCAGTTGCACCCCTCGCCACTGTGCCCTCAGCCCAGGCAGAGTGTTTGTTGGGGCACATGACTAGATGTTGGCATTCTACTTCTATCCTTCCATGTGGCTCAGCCACCCTGTCCATTTCCACACCACTTGTCTTCCAGCTCACAGGGGAGCCCCAAGAGGGAACCCCCACTGTAGAAACCAATGCCATTCACCCCAAAGTGTCTGGGCATCCCTTAGGGCAGATGAGGATGTGGAGAAGTGCCCTGACCAGGCTGGACAGGGCCACTGGGAAGAAGGCCTGTCCTAGAGCTGGGGGTAGTTGGTGTCAAGTAGGGAAACACTGAGTGAGGCCTGCACACAGGGAAGTATTTAAATTGTAAGGATCAGCAGCGCCCATCGCTCAGTGGGTAGGGCGCCGGCCACATACACTGAGGCTGGTGGGTTCAAGCCCAGCCCAAGCCAGCTAAACAGCAATGACAATTGCAACAAAAAGAAATAGCCAGGTGTAGTGGTGGGTGCATATGGTCCCAGCTACTTGGGAGGCTGAGCCAGGAGAATCACTTAGTCCCAAGAGTTGGAGGTT